GCAACAGGCCTGACCTCATGGCCCAGCAATGCCGCCAGGGCTGGGGCAGACCCTGACGGCGCGGGGCGACGCGGCCATCGGACCTGGCCTCCCAGCCTCTGCTCGGTCCCCAACCTCAGTGCAGCTGGTCGCCGACGGAGCTTCTCGCTTCCTAGAGAGCCCCCACCCCCAGACACACACACACACGCGATTAAAAAACCCTCCTTACCGTCGGGCAGGCAGGAGAGCGCGCACTGCGGACGGGGCTGCAGGGCGAATGGATCGCAGCGGTTGGGCTGGGGGTTTTCAGCGGCTCCCGCCTCGGACGGGGCGGACCGGGGGCGGGGCGAGGACTGGGAGGGTTTAAAGGCGCCGTAGCCGGAGCCTTGACCGAGGTTAGAAGGGAAGCGCTGTGGATGGGACCTTGGTTACAGGATCTGGGGGTCAGGGCCTCCTAGGCAGCGGCAGTGGCCTTCACCCAGGACCACCTCTACCCCAACCCATAGAGCCAGGAGAGGCGTGCCCCAGTGGGGACTTTCAAGACTTCTGGGGAAAATCCTCTTGGTTTGAAAAGGGTGATTAGGTCCTGACCTAACCGGTTTGGCTTAGTGGACAGAGCGTCAGCCTGCGGACTGAAGGGTCCCGGCTTCGATTCCGGTCAAGGGCACATGTCCAGGTTGTGGGCTCGATCCCCAATTGGGGGGCAAGCAGTAGGCTGCCGATCAGTGATTCTCTCTCATCATTGATGTTTCTACCTCTCTCTTCCTCTCTGAAATCAATAAAGTAAAGAATAAAAAGGGTGGTTAGGGCCTGGCTGGCATGGCTCAGTGATTGAGCATCAACCCATGAACCAGGAAGTCACGGTTGGATTCCCAATCAGGGCACAGGCCCAGGTTGCAGGCTCGATCCCCAGTATGGGATGTACAGGAGGCAGCTGATCAATGATTCTCTCTCATCATTGATGTTTCTGTTTCTCTAGCCCTCTCCCTTCTTCTCTGATATAAACATATAGGTATTAAAAAGGGTGGTTAGGTAAATGGAGGCACAGGAAAATGCACCTCCCCCCTAGCTGACTAGGGTGTGACAGGACTGGGGCTGGCAGGCCAGGACAGCACCCGCACCTACTTCAAGCCGAGACAGGAAAACTCAATGAGGTCATTGCTTGTGGTGCCCAACGCGCGTGTGATCAATCAGCGCTGGGACCCAGGGTTCAGACCTGACTGCACCCCCCTCCACCGCCTCCCCAGTGGAGGAGGCGATCAGTGCTCCTGGGAGTGGAGGAGAGCAGTTTGGGGGCTAAAGGCATGCTCCCCCCTTTCAGGCAGAACCCCCACTTATAACCACGTATGGTAGAAGCCAGTTTCACCTGGTTTTCAAGGACACCCACCATTGTCCTTCCACCTTTCTGTTCTCTCTTGCCCAGTCCTACTCAGTCCTACATTCCAGGGCCTCGGGCTGTTCCCTAGAAGTCAGTGAACGTGCCTTCACTCAGGCAGTCCCCTCTGCCTGGGGTGCTTTTCGACCCTTGACTCATCCTCACCTGCTCCCCCGCCCCCCCCCACGCCCTGTTCATTTCAGTTCCCTGGTCTAATAGTACTACCTCCCCGCCTAGAGAATGTACGGGCTTGGAGAGCAGTGCCTACACGTCAGAGTGCTCGGCTGTTCGCTATCTTTGTTCCCACTGGGAAAGCTCCGAGGATCCCCCACATGAACCACTGGTCCCAGCACAGGCTGTAAGCGTTCCCTGCTGACTCCTTCCTTTGTGCTACCACAATAACGAAGGCATTGCCTTATCACGGAACTGATCGCATCATGCTGCAGCTATTTCTCCTGTCTGCCGACTGGCAAGAACCCCCAAGGGCAGGGCTTGACTTAGTGAACTCGGTATTTTCTCAGCATCTAGCTTGGTGGCTGGTCTTTGGTCCCTGACTGTTGGGGTCCAGCCCCAGCAGGTCCAGGGGTTCCCATAGGTGTGGACCGAGTCGGCGAAGAAGGAATGACACGGAGGCAGCATTCAGTTGATCAGCATGGTTGGGTTCTCTCTTTACTGTTCTATTACATCTGTATGTATACCATTTGATCCTATAAGTATGCCTCTCTAGGTTAATCTCTGTGTTTCATTACAAGGGCTAATCCAAGGTCACTGCTCTACTGATAGGCTACAAAGAAATGATTGAAGGAGTTTTTCCTACCCAGTAAAGGTTATATTCTTCAGTTCCTTGTTTCTTATCTGACCTTTGCCAAAAATCCTGTCTGTATCTAGTTCTCTTGATTTTAATCTTGTTCTCGGGGAGGTGGTCCTGTTTAAAACACATAGCGCTAAGAGGGGGAGCAAACATGTGCCATATACGCCAGGTCCCTTGAAATATAAGCTGTGCAGATGTTTCTTCCCTGCAGCGACTGTGTCAAGCAGCAAGAGTGGACCGGCTCCAGGCACCTGACTTCAGTAGGCGCTCAATACATGCTTTTTGAATGGATGTTGAACGCTCCTCCATTCATTTAGGAAGAATGCCCGCCTTTCACAGGTTCGAGATCCCTCCCCGACCTCCCTCTCAGATTCAAAGTCAGACAACATAGAAACATTTTCCAGACTTTCTTTATTCACCTGTATAAAACCTCACCCACACCACATACACACACACACACACACACACACACACACCCTCCAGCAGAACTAGGACCCCGCCCTAGTGCCCAGGCTCAGCACATCCATCCCACACCATGCCCACCCCAGCCCACCATCAGGGTCTGTGCCTGGGCCTCCAAGGGGCAGGGGCAGTTGCCCAGGCGGAGCTAGGTCTGGTTGGGGCCTCCTTCACAGGGTCCCTGTGCCTTCACGCTGCCTCACAGGAGGGTGTTCACAGCAGAGTGGCCTGTTCAGGATGGGGGACCGGCTGTCGATAGGCGGGGAGCCAGGTCCTAGCGGCATCTCGGCGGCGGCGGAAGGCCAGGAATTCCTCCCGCAGGGCAGCGCAGCGGGCCTCGGGGCCAGGAGCCGGGGCGGCGCTCAGGGGGCAGCCCACCTCTGGAGTCTTGGCACCTGCCAGCGGAGGGCAGAACAAGGAGAGGAACGAGTCTTGAGGTTCACTGGCACCAGGAAGCTCCCCAGGGCTGGCAGGTCACATGACCCCAGGGGGAAACCGGGAACAGGCTGGGTCCTAAGCTGTGGGTGGTGGGACAGCAAGGCCAGGAGCGCCTGCCTTTCTGGAGGCTCACACACCTAGCTCGGGCTCAGCTTCAGGTCCGGGTCGAGGGCCAGCCAAGCCCAGGTACAGGGTCTCCAGCAATTCCACATCCCCAGGGAATTCTGAGTCCCATTCATAGTTCTCGTCCACAGATGTGTCCCTCCTGTAAAAAGAGACAAAGGTGGGGGGTGAGGGGGGTGGGGAATGGAGGGTGGCCAGAAAAGCTTGAACCTGAACTTCCCGAATTCAGGCCACAGTGGGAGCGGAGCAGAGAAGGCCAGAGGTGTCAGGAGAGGGCTGGGGAGACAGTCCGAGATGACGCGGCAGGGATGGGCAGGGACTGCCCTCACCTCTTGCTGACTGTCACCACATGCTCCCTCCGGGGCCACCTCTCCGGGCCACTGGCCCAGCTGCTGGTGTCTCCTGGAGCCGGGCTGAGGTAGCTGCCTCCGGCGGAGGGGGCCGTGGAGGGGGGCCGCAAGAAAGAGGCGCTGCCCCGCCCGCTGCTCTGGCTGGTGAGGCTGCCCCGAGGGGCAGCAGGGAGAAGGCCCGACAGCAGCCGTTCCCTCAGTGTCCAGTCGGCCAGCGCTGTGTACGGGCCCTCCGGGGCAGCCCCAGCCCTGCCCACAGCCCCGGGAAGCACTGCCCGTGGGGAGGCAGGAGGGGAGTCCAGGGGCTGAAGGAGAGAGGAGGGCGGGCAGGGCCGGATGTCCCTGTAATCTGGGGGTGCAGCAGAAGCAGGCTCCTCCAAAGGGGGCCAGTCTCCGTCCACATTCATCTCCCTGAAGAAGGGCAGGCTCAGGTACTGGAGCAGGGGCCCGGTTCCTGGCAGGGGACTGGGCGGGGCGGCGGGAGAGGGCCCCACAGGGCTGATGTCTGTAATGCAGAGGGGCTGGGGCAGCCCTGTGGGGCTGCTGCTGCTGCAGTCATAGGACCTGGCCTGGTGCCGGGCTGGGGTCCGAGGTTCAGCCTGCTCAGGGCCTGACCTTTCTTGGGGGGCCCCCACGTTGGGTCCCAACACAAAGCGCCCATCTGGTCCCCGGCAAATGGGCTCCAGGGGCAAGGGCCCCTGGCTCGGTGGAGGGTCTGGAGGGGAGCTGGGGGTTCTAGCAGGCTCCCCGCAGAGTAGGCTCTGGCGCAGGCTGGGGGCTGGGGAACCCCGGAGCTTCAGCTTGGCCACGCTGTCAGGACTGCCCGAGCCTGGAGCAGAGCTGGGGAAGGACAGATCAGGGCCTGTGGTGAGGGCCAGTCCCCGTCCCAGGAACCACGGTTGGGCCTGGAGGGGTTTGGTACACAGCAGAGCAGAGCTAGGAAAGCAAGTGAGCCAGGACCCACACGGAGGTGGAGGGAGGCACAGCAACCCTGGACCACCCCCAGGCTGGGCTCTGCATCCCATCCTCACCTCCCTCCCATCTCTGCTCCGCCTCTCACAACTCCTACCCCGGGTACAGGAAAGGAGCAGAGGATAGGGGCACACTAGGGTGGGCGGGGTGTGGGGGGGAAGTGGGGGACAGAAAGAGGCTCAGAGGAGGAAGGACTTACAGTGGAGATGACAACCGGGGTGGAGAGAAGAGAAGAGGTGGATCTGTAAGGGCAGGAGAACCAGAGGTGACACAGGCAAACCGAGGCTCTCCAGGGCCCAGGCACAGACCTCACCCCATCCGGCTGGGAACAGTGTAGGCCAGGCTGGGTGCAGGAAGGGTGCTGTGTGCGGGCTTTCCTCCAAGTAAGAGGCGCTGACTGAGGGGGGCTGGCAGGAGGCCTGGCAGCTGGGTGCGGGAAGGGTAGACCTCCAGGCCTGCACAAGGAGCCATGAGGGAGGGCCAGTGTCCAGATTCAGTGGGCTCAGAGCCCCCGGCCCCGGCCCCGGCCCCGGCCCTCCCTCCAGGTTCTCACCAGAGGTGGAGACGTTGGCCGAGTTGCTGGGACGGCTGACATAGCCACCGGCCAAGGCCACAAGGCGAAACTCGTAGAGAACATCCTGGGGTGGGGAGTTCAGGAGGTCAGGGCCCGGCCGGACCGCCCACACCAGCCCCATTGGAGAAGACAGAGCCGTGGGAGGGGAGGGGAGGTAGGAAGCCGGGAGGATGGTCCAATCTGGGTTTGGGGACTGGAGCTGGGGCCCGGAGAACCGCAGAACCCCCCATGCCTGCTTCCCACACTAACCTTGATGAGGCCAGGCACCAGCAGCTGCACTTCCGCGCCCGCCACGGCCCTGTCCAGCACCTCCCAGCTCTGGGAGCCTTGGCGGCCCTCTAGGATGTAGCCATCCAGTCTCTGAGGGACCATTTCCGGGGGATCCCAATGTAGTAGTACCCCCCGGGGCGTCCTCACTGCCACCAGACCTCGGGGTGCGGACAGAGGCGGTGGCATCTCTGTGACAGGAAGTGTGGGGGCAGCTGGTGTGGTAGGAAGGCCTGAATGGGACAGATAGGCCGGGCAGAAATAGAATTTCCAGTGCTTCCCCTCTTCCCTGGCCTCCACGGCCACCAGTGCCCAACCATTCTCCCAGCGCCCCTAAGACAAGCCTGGATCATGCCCCACAAATTCCTCTGGACGCCAAGCTGCCAGCACCTTCGCATCCTCCCACTCAGGCCCCCCCATATCCAGCTTCTCCTGCCAGCCCCTCCCTATCCTCATCTACTGCTTTGGGGTGAGAGGTCTCTCACCTTCGGGGACAGACAGGACAATCTCGCTGAAGGGCCCACTGCCCAGCTTGTTCTGAGCCAGGACGCTGAACTGGTACTGGGTGTGCGGCTTCAGCCCTGGCACAAGGAGGTGAGCGGCCCCCATGGGCACCGCCAGGGACAGCCAGTCGTGGTGGGCTCGGTCGGAACGCTTGGCCCTAGAACATGAGGAAACGGGGCGCCTCATCAACCAGGGTCACCTAGGATTCTCTGGAAGTCCAGCAGCAGAGCTGGGGCAGGGCTGGGGCAGATGGGGGGGGAGGTGGGGGAGGGGAAAGAAGAGGGCCAGAGAGAACCAGGGTGGGGAAGAGAGGAGTGGCCTGCAGGGCACTCACAATGGGGTATACCAGACGCTGAATCTCTGCAGATAGCCACCATCGAAGCCAGGCTCCCAGGAGACATTGGCACCCTTGGGCAAGGGCACCACGGACACATTGGTGACAACATGGGGGCTGGTGCCTGGGTAGAGGGGTGGGGGGAAGGATTATGGTCGGGGCCCTGAAGGGATGTGAAGAACTAAGAGGAACCCAGAGCCTCTGCCCTCCACCCATCACCCAGGGGTTCCCCACCCACCACCCTAACTGAGCCTTCAAGACCGATTCCCTGTCTCCCGCCCCACACGGTTTCTGGCAGCCCCAGCCGGCTATGTGGCCACTGACCCAGCACGTAGACGTTCGTGGAGGTGGCCACGCGGGCGACGGCATTGCTGGCGGTGCACTCCCAGCGCCCATGGGCCTCCTTGGTCAGCGGTCGCAGGATGAGGCTACTGTTGCTGTCCACCTGGGCCTGGCCCTGCAGCCCCCGGCCCACCTACAGAACCACTGGTCAGCCCTGAGGACACACGCAGCCACCCCTCACCACGGGCGCCCCTATCTCTGCGGGCGGCTCCAGCTTCCTCCCCACCCTGCGTCTGAGAGCCCTTCCTTCCCACGCCCTCCTTCCCACAGGATGGCCAGGGGCAGGGAGAGCAGGGATGTGCCGGGCAGAGGACAGGCACGCAGCTCCAGAGCCTTACCTTGGCCCAAGAGACGGTAGGAGGAGGGTCTCCTCGCGCAGAGCAGGGGATGAGCAGGTCCCGCCCTACTTCTTGGAAATATTCTTCTTTGGGACGTTCTAGAAAAGCTGGGGGGGCCTGCAAGCCAGAGCTGGCATTGGGAAGGGCCTCTCTCACACTGTGTCCCCGTTCTGGGGCTCCACCGCACCTCAGGCTCACCCCTCTCTCTCTCTAACTGTGTCTCTGTTCTCCTGGTGGGACAGGGAAGACTGGGGCACTGGGAGGCCTCTCTGAGGTGTACAGGTCAAGGTCAGTTGGGGGGGTGGAAGGAGTATCTGACTGTGGATGTGCTGTGTGACTGATGGCCCATCTCCCTAGCACCACCTCTGCCAAAAGACTCTGGGATGGCATCTGACCGCTGCTGTGGCCACACAAGAAACAGACTTGGAAGCCCACCCCCAACACACACACACACACACACACACACCACACACACCACACACACCA